AGAAAGGGGTCAGGTCTGTGATGTGTAAAACCAAAGTCTGTCAATTGGGAGTTTTCCCCGTGATTTTGTGTTAGGCTGCATTAGAGGAAGTTTGAAAGCCAGCAAAGGTTTCAGTATCATAGTCCAGTTCTCAACACTCCCCACACTGGTGTCCAACACTCCTTCCTCCCCAAAAAACCCCTCTGTTTGCTTTCACTTATGTTGGTTTGGCACATGGAAACTGGAACTAATTTAGGGCCAAATTGAGTGTGTTGGTGACTCACAATGCACAAATAAACTGGGCTAAATCCATTATTGGTGTTATACTACTGAAATCCGTTTGGTCCGTTGACTTTAGTGGGACTGCACGGATGAAAATCAGCACAGGAATCTGCAAGCATTTTTCCAAATTAAGTTTTTGTTGCATTTTACCTTTGACACGGAAGTCCATGGGTACTAACTGGCAAAGGGGTCAGAGTTTTTTACAAGCAACTCCTATCTCAGACTTGAATTCACTCAACCTAATACTCTGCTTTCATGGCATTTATCCACCAAGGGTAGCATGTTTGGTCTCTACTGAAAGTCTGTGACTTACAGATACTCATAATCTTTCTGGGAAGTATGTGTGGTTATTATTTTAAGGACTAATGTAACAGTATTGACCATCATGCCCTTATGGTCTTGACGTAAAAGTGAGTCACTAGGATATGCTGCCTTGGTGACAGCCCATTCAAGCCTGGAGGAATTCTCAACCCTGTCTGGTTAGCTGATCATGTGTTGCTCAATTGTCCACCATTCCAATTGCCCAGAAAAGTCAATGGACTTGGGGACTGCATCTGTTTTCAGTCTGAGAGCAAAGGCAGGGCTGCTATAGCCTAGAGGAGAATACGTATGTAGTTGACAGACTGGTTGTGGTAGGGAGTTAACACCCACCAGGCACAAGCAAGACAATCCTGCACTAGAGGCAGGTGGCAACAAGATAACTTGCAGCCCTGGTGCCCTGGGAAGTGTCACAACTTTTGATGCTCCAGTTTCACCCATTGTGAATATACAGTGAATAGATACTTTTGCAATCTTTTCCAGATTGTCATAACCGTTGCAGTTTAGAAATGTAGATGTTTTACAACCTTTGCAGTTTAGAAATGTAGATGTTTTACAGTTAGTCAATTTCACCAATATTTTGGGTTCATTTCCTTGCAACCACAATGCAGGGGTTGCTGCTGCATATGAGATAAAGACAAATAGATAGGAAACCACAGCAATGCGTGTTTACTCCTGGCAAGAGGAAATGCATGGCATACTGACATCTAACATTCTCTGTTAAAAGGGAAGATTAATATTAAAATTCTTAGTAATACAAAACACCTCTTGCAGATGGAATCTCTTTCCTTTTTGTTTGAATAAAACTATTCAAAAATTGAAATAGGCATAATCACCATACACACATGTATTCCCAGCACAGTGAAGGCCTTGCTCAACATAATGGACAGTGTTGGAACTGGAGCTGTGTGGAAGCCTGCTTGAGTCTACACTTTGAAATTGTTTTGTGAAATAAGTGCCTTCTGTTTAAGGAAGATTAAAATGCCATAGATTGTGGCAGTTGGGTCATTTTCAATTTTGAAGATTTAAGTGGATTTAGCTTTTGAACACTGGTCTAATTTGTATGGATTTTATATAATAGCCTTTTCCCCAGCTTTCTCCCAGCAGATGAGCTGTGCATCTGCATTATTAATCTCAGAGCCTTTTCTCTTTTGTCGTAACAAAACAACCTAGTCTATGCAGTATTTATTACAAATGGATTAAAAAATACTGGGGATAATAACAAGAGCTTCAAAGAGTAAGGCATCAGGAGACGGATGAGTGAATGACACAAGAAAAGGCCCTTTCCTGGTTTGAACGTCTGAAATAGTCCCCACACACAAGAGTGAATGGAACTGAGTCAAACTGTGCGTTTGTAAATTAATTTAAGGAAAATTTGTTGTATATTTCCTGTCACCTGGACACAGCAGTGGCTTTAGCTTTAGCAGGGAAATCAACATGAAACATTTAAGTTTAAAAGAAAAGAGATGACAAGCTGAGACTCGCACAGAACACATAGGATCTGAGCTGCATTTGATTGAACCTACTAGGGGTTGAGCACGTAAGTGCCAGTGCGTGACTACTCACTACTTTACTTAGGCTATGTCTAGACTGCAGGCTTCTTTCGAAAGAGGCTCTTTCGAAAGCATCTTTCGAAAGAGCCTCTTTCGAAAGATCGCGTCTAGACTGCAGGCGGATCTTTCGAAAGGGCAATCCGCTTTTTCGAAAGAGAGCACCCAGCGAGTCTGGATGCTCTCTTTCGAGGAAGCCCTATTTACATTGAAGAACGCCTTCTTTCGAAAGAGGAACTTTCGAAAGAAGGCGTTCTTCCTCGTGAAACGAGGTTTACCGCCATCGAAAGAAAAGCCGCGTTCTTTCGAAATTATTTCGAAAGAACGCGGCTTGAGTCTGGACGCAGGGGAAGTTTTTTCGGGAAAAGGCTACTTTTCCCGAAAAAACCCCTGAGTCTGGACACAGCCTTAGATGCATAACTTTAAGCCTGACCCCACAGGGAAGAAAGGAAGAGTAGTGCCAGCATGGTGGTGATTTAAGGCAGTATGTTAATGATTAAGTGTGCAAGTTGGTCTCTTGCTTCCAGGACTGACAGGGCTGGGACATGTTTTTGTTTAGCACTTGTTCAATCAACTCCTACTTTTATTGTTTTTTTATGGCAGTAGAGACCAAAATAAAAATCAGGGCCCCATTGTGCTAGGAGAATAGTCCCTGCCCAAAGAGTTTATAATCCAAATAGCAAAAGGTGGAAGGGGAAATAGAGGCACCCTGAGAGGTGAAGTGATTTGCCTAGACTCTGTCAGTAGCAGAGCCCAGAATAGACTCCGGGCCTGACTACTGCTCCAGTGCCCTAGCTGCTAAACCACGCTGCCTCTTTTGTCAGATCGTACAAACCACTGTGAAGAAATTAATCTCTTCTCTTTATGCTGCCCTCCATATCACCTCTCCCTGAGGTGACCCTGCCAGCTGATATCGGAGAAGAGTTGATGGGCTCACAGTGAAGATCCTTTCTACCCTTTTCTGCCAGAAGGAAGGTCACCATGGAAACAGGGCCTGAAGGGTATTGGAGAAAGTAATCCACAAAGAAAAATCTCATGGAATGTAATGGAAATGAAACCAGTGAAGTGCGGTAGAAATGTAATAGTGTTCTATAGGTATTATGCTATAAAATGTAACAGCCAATGGGAGCCTTTGTGGGGTTGGATGTTTTTTAAACTATCACACAGAATGCCGTAACAGGGATGCAATTCTCTGCTGAATTCTACAGGATGGGCCAAAAGGCCTATAGGAAACTATATTTTTCCATTAAGTGCTATTTGTCTTTTCCATAATGGAGATTAGAAGAAAACAAACAGCTGGACAGAGTCCAGAGGCACATAAAAACTCCCCTAGATTGGGGGTGGGAAGGAAAAGCATTGACATTAACTTTTGTTTCAGATGTTTTTAAAAGAAATCACACTTTAAACCTTATCATTTTGTTGCTGTGTGGGCCAGAAGTGGAAAGTGCACACTCAAGAGTTTTAAACGGAGAGAAAAAAGTGCCTGCAAGCTCAGAGTCCTTGATTGTCCAGCTTCAGCAGAGAGTGGAGTTTTATTGCCAACTTATGATGTCTTTCTTGAGTATGGAGGTTTTACAATGGAAACTCTGGCAGAATCTTTATCTACAGCAGTTGTTCTCAGAGTGTTGTCCGTGGACTATTAGTGGTCCATGACCATCTGGCAGGTGGGCCATGGGTAGAGCCTCGCCCACAGGTGAAAGTAAGCGAGTGCCGGTGCACAGCTCCCAAGTTGCAATAGGACAGTACCTGTAAGAAATTTTAAGTTACTTTCACTGATTGACTCGTCTCTCCCACCGCAGCAGGGAGCCTGTACTGATGCTCCTGTCATTGACTCGTCTCTCCTCCCACAGCAGGGAGCCTGTACTGATGCTCCTGTCCCCCTCTCCCACCTCCTTGTGAGGTTGGCTTCTTGCTGCAGGAGGGAGCCCTGAGCCTTGCAGGCCGGGTCCAGATCGTGGGGGGAGGAGGCAGCTCTGCACGCTGCTGCTCCTTCGCCCGTTCCCCCTGACTGGGGGATCCGCAGTGCAGGAAACCGCTCACTTGGAAGCTTTTCCTGCTGCTTCCGTTGGCCAGAATCCCAGCCAAACCCCCACCCCCAGCTCACTCCTGCGCCTGACCTCCTGCGCAGATACCCTGCCCTCAGTCTGCTCCTATACCCCACTTCCCAGCCAGACCCTCCACTCTCAGCCTTCTCTTGCACCCAACCTCCCGGTCAGACCCCACACCCTCACCCTTCTCCTGCACCCAGTCTCCCCCCAGGAACCCTGCACCCCCACGCCGTCATGCATGCATTTTGTCATCGTGGGTGATTGGCTGGTGGTCCATGGAAAGGTTTGCATTGAGCAGGGTGGGCCATGGGTTAAAACAATTGAGAAACCACCCATTTGCAGTTTAGACTCCACTGAAGACCTGGCTGGGATGCAGAGGATGAGGCCCCTCAAAAAGGGTGCTGCTTGCCGTCCGACCCAGCATAATGAAGGGAAGTTAATGGCTCCTCTAGTGCAGTGCAGAATGAACAAATTAATCCACTTTCCTTAGAGGCCATTTTTATTACAGTCGCATGTAGAGGCCCCAATCAATATCAGTGGCCTGTTGTGCTCGGCAGTGTGGATGGTCCCTGCCCTGAAGAGCTTACAGTCTGTGTGGACAAAGGGGAAGGGAAGAGGCAGAGGCAACATGAGATCGCAGAGCAGGTCCCTGGCAGAGCTGGGAGTACAATCCAGTTGTCTTGACTTCCAGTCCTGTGCCCCCTACACTAGGAAACACTGTCTCCCAGTGCGGCTGAACAGAAAGTGGAAAGAATTTTTTTCATACATGAGAAGAATAAAACAGACCCTTGACATGACCAATCCATGTACTTGTCTCTTGCAGCTTATTTGTGTTTCCTGATGACAGCTCTGGGAGTGACCGCTGGCGCGCACCGATTATGGAGTCACAGGTCCTACAAAGCCAAGCTGCCTTTGAGGATATTCCTGGCTGCGGCTAACTCCATGGCTTTTCAGGTAGGGATGTGGCTGCCAGATGGGATCTTCAGTCTCTGCGCAGTGTTCACCAGGCCAGCGCGAGGGTCTCTTCTGTTTCTGTTCAGTGCTGAAGCAGGGCTGCAGTTATTGTTTATACTCACCATGCAGAGCAGGGGTGGGCAATAATTTTTGATGGAGGGGCCACGCCAACATTTTGGAAAGCTGTTGAGGGCTGCACCCTTCTGAGATATCACTGGAGGAGGTGCAAGAGCTGGGATGGAGGTTGGGTGCAGAAGAGAGCTTAGGGTAAGGGATTGGGGTACAGGAGGGAGTGCAGGGGTTGGGTTGTGACCTAGGGCAGAAGGGGATTGTGATCTGGGGCTGGAGTGCCAGATCTGGGAGGTGACATGGGTGCAGGAGAGGGACAGAGTTTGGGTATTTGGAGTAGGGGGCAGTAGTGGGGGAGTAGCGGGTTGGGGAAGGGAGGGCCTGGGATGCTAGAGGCAGGCTCTGGCTGGAAGACTTACCTGTGAAACTCCAGGCCATCAGCCCAGCACGTTTCTCAGGCAGGCAGCTTGCCCCACCCCTGCACAGGCTGGAGGGCCACGCGCACGTGTGAATAACTAAGAGCTGGAGAGGAGGGAGGGTGGTGCTTCATGTGCTATCTGTTGTTCAAACAGGCAGCTCCCATTGGCCGGTTTCTGACCAGAAACTTGCCAATGGGATTGTGCTGAGGGTGCGGGCAACTCCTGAAGCCTTCCCCCCTCCCTTCTGGGCTCATAGTTTTGAAAGAGAAACAGCTCAGCAGCTGCTTTTCTGAGCGGCGTGTGGGTGGGGCAAGGAAGCAGGGAGCCTGTCTGAGGTTCCCTGCAGTGTTCACGGGCTGTATTTTGCCCAGGTCTGAACCAGAACCAGGGCAGACTTGGTCAGAGTGATGGTCCATATTGCCCTGTATCGTCACTGAGTGTGTTTAGTACCAGTGCTGCAGAGCACAGTGTAAAACCTCCAAGATGGACAATTACATGCTACCATGCCAATATAATACAGTCTCTTTCTAAACCCAGGCAACTAAAGATTGGCTTATAATATCTTTTAAGCATATTTTTATCTTAATTACTAAAATAACAGCAACAAAACCAAGCTCTTATGGTTTTCATCAGCAGGTTTACAAAAGAAGAATCATTAGCCCCATATTACAGATGGGGAAACTGAGGCCCACAGACATGAAGTGATGAAGTGGCAAACCTGGGAATAGAACCCAGGCCCCCTGAAAACCCATGCATGAGCCACTAGGCCATACAGCATCACTTAACACTCTTTTTTTAAAAAAAAATAAGTAGTCCTGTGGCACCTTAGGCCTGGTCTACACTAACAGATAAGATGGAATTAAGATACACTACACAGCTGAAGATGTGTAAGTCAAAGTAACAACTCAAATTTTGGTGCTGTCTACACAGCAGGGGGTTGACAGGAGCACACTCTCCCTTTGACTTCCCTTACTTCTCATAGAAGCAGGACTACCAGCATCTGTGTTTCTTAAACTTTTTAAGACCAAGGAACACCAAACAATAATTTTTTTTTATGAGGAACACCAAGGATTTTTTGTTGAGGGGAAAAAAAATGGTTGGGTGAGAACGGGTTGAGGGGAAATAGTGATAGAAATGTAGCCGTGTTAGTCTGGTGTAGCTGAAACAAAATACAGGACTATGTAGCATTTTAAAGACTAACAAACCATCTTGTTAGTCTTTAAAGTGCTACATAGTCCTGTATTTTGTTGAGGGGAAAGTTATTGAGAAAAAAAGGGGTTGGGGGAAAGTTTTATTTGTTTTTTTTCCCCTCAATAAAAGGTAGCCTGCCCCTTTAAGGGCAGCCATTTTGAATTCTGTTGTTCTCCGTGGCACACCTCCGACTACCTCGTGGCACACTGGTGTGCCACGGAACACAGTTTAAGAAACACTGACCAGCATCGAGGGATTCGGTCCCGGGCTGGGGCCAAGGGCCAGGGAGAGAGGTTTGAGGCAGGGAGACCACTTACCTGGGCCAGTGGCTGGCAAGATGGCGAGTCCTTACAGCTCTCCCCCACACTTGCTGCCTCCTGCGGCGACTGTGCAGAATCGCGTCCCTCCTATCAGCCCCTCCCCCTTTCCATATTATGGTAAATGATCAAATTCCAGGCACGTTCCATTTTCCTCACACAACTAAACCTGGACCTTGCTTTAAGCTTGGATAAGAGGAAGCTGCAAAGCTGCATACAAAATGTGGTTGTGTTAGCTGTTACCATTTAGAAGGAGTTCTTGAACAAACAGATTCACAGACAGACAGACTCACAGACAGATGTCTCTAAAATACACATATAGATAGATAGATAGATTAGATAGATGCTTCTGTCATGGTGCCTCTTATTCATTCTGTTCTCTAAATTAGATAGCCCTAATCTTAACCTCTCCTCCCATTACAAAGCGCACAGCAGAGCTGTTGTTTAAAATGGTTTAGCAAGTGTTTGATTTGATCGTACTGCCCTAGCTCCCAATGGGTACATCTACTCTGCACAGCTATTTTAGGATACCAAAGGTATCCCAAAATAGCTACTCCGCATCTACACAAGCCACCCATTATTTCAAAATATTTTTCAAAATAACAGGCACGCTATTTCTCCATCCCTGTAAACCTCATTGCATGGGGATAAGGAATGGCTCAAAATAGCGCGTTATTTTGAAATTTGGTGCTGTGTAGACGCACCAAATTTCAAAATAAGCAAATTCGAAATAGATTCGAAATAAGATATGCCATTTGCATAGTGCGAATTGTGTACCTTATTTCGAGTTTAGGGTGATGTGTAGACACACCCAATATGAGCGCAGGCTGTTTTCTGCAATTCCACTGAAGCAAAGCAGCCCTCCAAAGTGTTGTGACATTACTGCTTGGTGTGTGGGGCAACAGCTCAATTTCATAGTCAGTGGAACAGGAAGCCACTATTCAGAGGAAATTTCCCCCACTTCGTTGCTGTGGACCTGTGTCCTCCTTGGATACGGGTGACCAGGGTTGTCATGGTTTCAGGGGTTCTTTTGAATTCTGCTTCCAATGCTCCTTCAGATTTCATACCAGCTTCACCTCAGCTGTGGGATCTGTGGCAGGGGCAGCCTCCGCCTCCACAGCTACCCACATGTGGCTTGCCACTGCACTACTCCCCTGCCTCAGTTCCCCCCCAACCTCCCCAGCTGTAGGGACCCTCAGCACCAAGTGCAACATAAACACAAAGCTCCTCCTGGCTCCGCGCTCTCCCATTCTTCTTTAGAGCAGTGACTCTGGGCTTCTCCTCTCTGGGAATTTCCCTTCATCCAGAGCCCTGTCACAGAGCCGGCCTCTTTCCTGCAGCCCTCCTTAGTCTTTCTCTGGGCATCTGCCTGGGAGTTACGCTTCTGCAGGGCCTACCAGAGGAACCAGACATTCTTCTGCAACTTCCCTCTATCAATTGCGCTCTCATAACCTTTTGTGGGCATTGCATGACCCCTTCCCAGCTGGGGCTTATAAGTGAACAGGACCATTTGATCTAGCCAATCAGGATCAAATGTCTGGGGTGGAGAAGTAGCTGATTAGTCACAGGCCAGCTGAAACCCTCTCCCCTTAAAGGGCCAGCCAGTCAGTGACAGGGTGACTATCATGGTTGTCATGCTTCCTGGCCACTGCCCTATGTTACCTACAGGGACAGCAAGTAACATAGGAGGAGCTATAGCATCCCATCATGTCTAATATCTCAAAGTAAACATGTCTCAGCCAGGGCTGTGGATTATGCTTAGCATTTCCGACCTCACGCTGTGTGCTATTGTGACTTGATGTGTTTTGCATAAGTCCTATCAGCCGTAGCAATTTCATCTCTGTGGTCCGAGGTGATTTTTATGCTTGGAGGTGGCTGAGCTGTTTCTCTTGACCATCCATCTTCTAGAATTACTCTTGGGTCACTGTTTTTGTTTCAGAAATGGAGCAGTGCCCGGATCGTGTTTACTTCAACTCCTTTCTTTCACTATGTCCGACCCCGCTGAGTGATATCTCTTCTTATTGAGCTGTGCCACAGTGACTCTGCCACATGGGTTTATTTTGTGCCTACTGTATGAAACAAGCCATGGTTCTAAACTTAACATCCGGCAGTCACTGGCCATTTGGCTCTGATTACTTGCACTCAGCTGCAGCATCTAATGGTATTTCACTGTAGCTCATTTATTTCCTATATCACACACCAATCGGCTAGAACAGTGTTTCTCAAACTGTGCTCCACGGAACCCCAGGGCTTCACGAGACATCTCCAGGGACTCCGTGAGGTTGACAAACTGGAAACATGGATAGGTACAACACATACAATTAGTGGACCACTGGGGCTCTGCATAAATTTTTACGCATGTAAAGGGCCCCGGAGCCCAAAAAGTTTGAGAACTGCTGTGCTAGAAAACCTAGTTTTGTAAGCTTTTCAAGAGCCCCAACAAAGAAATCTGGTCTGCATTTTGCTCACAGGGTTGTCTTCTAGCTGTATGTTCGGGTATGCATTTTACTTTTGTACTTATTACAAATGTGTGCTAATGTTTGCTGCAGTTACATGTAGGACACTATACTTCTTTATCTATCATGTTGTGATTGCAAACAGTTCTGGTCTCTCTTTTTATTTGCCCTTCTATTCTGTCTTTATACATTTTTAATTAGAGGCGCGTCAGTTCTTTCGCAGCTCACTAACACTTCCCATTTGGGGAAGAACAGGTTTCTCTAGCTCTGCAAATATCCCCTGTTCTATGCAGAGCCAAGTTAATGTCTTTCACTAAAATTGCTTTGACCTGGTTATCTACTAAGCCAAAAATAACTTTACATAATGATCAATAGTTTCATTTGGTAAAGAAAATGCGCCCTTCCCCTAGGGTCGTTCTTGTAGATGCCTGGCATTTGTAAATGACTTTGTGTAGCTCCCTGGAGTGTACTGTAAAATTTCAATGTCTCCGAACCTGCCCTTGTAGCAGTCTGGAGGATTTCACCCTCTCTGGTTTCTCTGCAGTGCCACTTGCTTCCAGAGAAATTTGGAAGCAATGCAACTATCTCCATTAGTTCTCAGCCAGACTGAGGTTCAGGTGACTTCATATGCTTCATTTTCACCAAAGCTTTAGTTTTCTTCGGACATCATGTAATAAAGGTGCGACATACAGGAATGCTGCAAAGAGACTTGTCTCTATTTCTTGGTTCCAGTCACCTGGCAGAGGTTAGTGTTATGAAAAACTAATATCCTTGTCACATGACAGGAATCGGGACTCCAGTGGTTACTATCACATTCCCATATAAATGTCACTTTGTCTCACATTACTACAGCAAGGAGACAATGGTCAAGTTTGTGTCTCATTGTTCTTTAATTTTTCTGCTGGAATGGAGGTCAAAAGAGGTTATTTATGTACAGCCAGGGAAGTCTCCCAGATACAATTTCAGCGTGATGAAATTCTCATTTACAGATTTGAGGCAGGTTTTTTTGGCTCTATGGCTTGGTCCCCCTCAGCAGAACTGATTCACCCCGTAAAGTCTCTCAGAAGTCAGCAGCTAATATACAGAGCAAAACTGTCTATGAACTTTGGCAACAAAAGTTTCTCGGTTCACAAAATGTGGCCCTCTACAGTTGTTTTCTTGGACTTACTGCATTTTTCATCGATAACGGTGAAACATAAACTCTATCTTTGTTATTGTCTTGCTCTGGAATTTTCACAGAATTTCCTTGTTGTGCCCTGGAAGTAACTAAGATGGGGAAAGAAGAGGAGGCCACTCCATTGAGAAGTCTCTGTTTAACACACTGCTATAGATGAGAGCACAGACTAATCTCTTCAAATGTGGGCACCTAAAATTTGGAGCCCAGATTTACAGTTACGCACCTAAATAAGTGGCCTGCCCTGTTTTCAGAGGTGTTCAGCACCCAACAGCTGTCATTGTAGACAGTGGAAGTTCAGGACCACTGAAAATCAGACCAGTCATGGCATTTTAATCCCTTCCAGTGCCTCATTAAGTGCCCACTCTTGAAAACTCTGGCTATAGAATTTATGCTTGACCCACAGGGCAGGTAAACATGTTAACCACCATTCTTGGCCGTCAGCCATTTAATTGACCTTCATATCTTGCTGGCAAGAATGTTGTGGGAGACTGTATCAAAAGCCTTGCTAAAGTCAAGGTATATCACATCCACTGACTTGCCCATGTCCACAGAGCCAATTATTTAATCATGTAAGGCAATCAAGTTGGTCAGGCATGACTTGCCCTTTGTGAATCTATGTTGACTATTCCTGATCACTTTCCTCTCTTCCAAGTGCTTCAAAATGGATTCCTTGAGGATCCCTCCATGATTTTTCTGGGGACTGAGGTAAGGCTGACTGGTCTGTAGTTCCCTGAATTGTCCTGCTTCCCTTTTTTAAAGATGGGCACTACATTTGCCTTTTTCCAATCGCCCGGGACCTCCCCCAGTCTCCATGAGTTTTCAAAGATAATGGCCGAAGGCTCTGCAATGACATTTGCCAACTCCCTCCACCCCTTCGGATGCATTAAAACCGGCCCCATGGATTTGTATATGTCCAACTTTTCTAAATAGTTCTTAACCTGTTCTTTCTCCACGAAGGGCTGCCCACTCCCCGTCCTGCGTGGCCTAGTGCAGTAGTCTGAGAGCTGACCTTGTCTGTGAAGACAGAGGCAAAAAAAGCATTGAGTACGTCAGCTTTTTCCCACATCATCTGTCACTAGGTTACCTCCCACATCCAGTAAGGGTCCCACTCCTTCCCTAGCCACCCTCTTTTTCCTACCATGCCTGTAGAAACCTGTCTTATTAATCTTCACATCCCTTGCTAGCTGCAATTCCCATTGTGCTTTGGCTTTCCTGATTACAACCCTGCATGTTCGAGCAATGTATTTATATTCCTCCCTAGTCATCTGTCCAAGTTTCTACTTCTTGTAAGCTTCCTTTTTGTGTTTAAGTTCACCAAAGATTTCACTGCTAAGCCAAGCTGGTCGCCTACCATATTTGCTTTTCTTACTGCACATCAGGATGGTTTGTTCCTCCACCTTCAATAAGACTTCTTTAAGTGCTGCCAGCTTTCCTGGACTCCTTTCCCCTTCATGTTAGCATCCCAGGGGATTCTGCCCATCAGTTTCTCCCTTTCATCAGGATCCTGAAATCGACCATCTCATCATGATCACTACTGCCCAGGTTGCCATCCACATCTACTTCCCCTACTAATTCATCCCTGTTTGTGAGCATGGCCCCTGGTTGGTTCCCTCAGCACTTGTACCAGTGATAGAAATGTAGCCGTGTTAGTCTGGTAGTTAGTTTGATCTGAGCAAGTGGGTCTGACCCACGAAAGCTCATCACCTAATAAACCATCTTGTTAGTCTTTAAAGTGCTGCATAGTCCTGTTTTTTGTTTCACTTGTACCAGGAAGTTCATAGAATCATAGAGCTAGAAGAGACCTCAGGAGGTTCCCAACATTCTCCAAAAACTTCCTGGATTGTCTGTGCTCTGCTGCATTGGTCTCCTAACAGATGTCAGGGTGATTAAAGTCCCCCATGAGAACCGGGGCCTGCGATCTGGAAGCTTCTGTTAGTTGTCTGAAGAAAACCTTGTCAGCCTCATCCACTTGATCTGGTGGTCTATAGAGTACACCGATCACAACATCACCCCTGTTGCTCCCACCTCTGACCTTTAACCCAAAGAGTCTCAACAGGCTTTTCTCCCTCTATATACTGGAGCTCTGAGGAATCATATTACTCTCTTACATACAGTGCAACTCCTCCTCCTTTTCTCCCCTACCTGTTCTTCCTGAACAGTCTATACCCTTCCTGACAGTGCTCCAATCATATGACAAAAGACCGGTGAGTGAAAACCATCGTTGGCTTTGCTGAGCCTTAATTTCCCAGCCTATCTGTGGGCAGTTTTTGCTGGTGCTGAAGCTATGGGTAGCTGAGGAGTTTAAAATTCTGTTGAAGCTTTGCTTTGGTGATAAGCTACTGCAGTTTGCCGCATCTTGGGCCCCATCCTGTACGGTGCTGAACTTGTGATGAGTTCAATGGGAGAAGAAGGTAGTTGGTACCTCACACGGTCTGACCCATTCTCTGTGCTGTGTTCGTTGCTAGATAGGTTGATGCTTGTGAGCGGTAGGTGGAGGATGATGTGTGGGATGGTAAAGAGAAGGCACCATCATTGGGTTTGTGAGCACCACAGTGATGTTGGCTCCATTGCTCAGAACTCAGAAATAAGCCGCCATCCCCCAAACAGCATCTCTTGCAGCAGTTTAACAGCAGCGTGGTTTGTTAGAGTGGGAGTTACCTGTTCCCAGGCCAGATGCTGCTGACTCTGAGACCTGCAGGGAAAATCATCTTCAGAAATATTCTCTGAGGAGCTCTGTCATGGAGATGAGCTCCTGCTAAGCCACTGATCTGCATAACTACAGGGAAAGGGGATTGGATTTCTTTCAGCTCTAGGTTCTGAAAACTTGTGAATCTGCATCCTGAAGAAGAGGAATGTCCATGCGGAAAGGGATGTGTTATTGTGGGCCTGTAGCTGCTGCAACCTCCCAGTATGGCTTATTGAAAATCACTAAGAAGCACAAGATCAGGGCAGATTTGTTGAATGTCTCCTTCAACTCAGTTAGACGGACACTGTCTGGATTTCAGCACCACCAGTGTCTCTCACCTTTACCTGGATACATTTGATGCACCTGCCACTATGGGAGGTTATTCTCTGACACTGAGCAAATTGTGACTGCCCATGCCTGGGGAAGCATGAATCTAGATCTATACTTCACAACATGCCCCATCTCTATAATGGGCTCCATAAAACCTCTGGGCTGCGTCTAGACTGGCATGATTTTCCGGAAATGCTTTTAACGGAAAAGTTTTCCGTTAAAAGCATTTTCGGAACAGAGCGTCTAGATTGGCACGGACGCTTTTCCACAAAAGCACTTCTGCCATTTTCGCGATCAGGGCTTTTTTGCGGAAAACAAAGCTGGGCTGTCTACACTGGCCCTTTTGCACAAAAGTTTTGCACAAAAGGACTTTTGCCCGAATGGGAGCAGCATAGCATTTCCGCAAGAACACTGACAATCTTACATGAGATCAGTGCTTTTGCAGAAATTCAAGTGGCCAGTGTAGACAGCTGGCAAGTTTTTCCGGAAAAGTGGCTGATTTTCCGGAAAAACTGGCCAGTCTAGACACAGCCCTGGAGTCCAGCAACTTTAGGAGAGGCTGAATCCATATCTGAATGTTGTGGAGACAGGGACACCCTGAGCTCCACAGTGCTCCAGGAATGTAGTGTCCTAAAATCCTTCCGACTCTGCTTCCTCTGAGGATGGAAACCCCTAGAGGAAGCAGCAGGGTCTAGTGAACCCCCCAGTGGGTTCAGTTCCTGATTTAATCTGACATGGTTTATTTTTCTTCGCTGATTTAGAGAACCATTCTGTGGTTCAAATATATGAGCATGTGGCTGGCGGGTGGTGGGGAGACAAGGTGCTACCAAAGTCATTATGCCAACGCTCTATTTCCCCCCTCTTGCTGTCTGTACAGAATGACATTTTCGAGTGGTGTCGAGACCACCGGGTGCACCACAAGTACTCGGAGACGGACGCTGACCCCCACAATGCCTGTCGTGGCTTCTTCTTCTCCCACATTGGCTGGCTCTTTGTCCGCAAGCATCGTGATGTCATAGAAAAAGGCAGGAAGCTGGATTTCACCGACCTGCTGGATGACCCTGTGGTGCGGTTTCAAAGAAAGTAAGTGAAGGTTATGGAACTGCGCCCGACGGGGGTCTGAGCAGAGACGGGTGGGAGAGATGCTCTTGGTGATATGTTATTTTATACTTTCCTTTTCTTTCCTCCCCAGCATGCCCTTCCCTAAACTTGTTTGGAAATAGTATCCCTCCCCTCCCCGCCCCACACACACCGTTAACCTGTGGGGGTGCAAGGATACTGGTGCTGCAGGCTTTTACTCCCAGGCCCCCTTGCCAGAGCAGATGGCCGCATTCTTACCTTCCTCTCTTCCCAAACCACCAGGAAACGATGTCATAAACCCCTCCCCCCGACCGCAAAAAAGCGTGTGCATCTTGAACCTTTAATTGGGTTATATCACTGCCTCCAGTAACCATGATCTTCAGCAGCAGCCTCACTGGGGAATAAAACACATCCTTCTGTCGGAACTATCACCAACTCAGACCACAGGTCCAGCTGAGCTGAACTGTTGCCTCTCCCAGTACCTTAATTCCTTTGTACAATGAGAGGCCATCAGCTTGGCCTGTTGGGTTAGTACAGACCAGACTGCACCTTCCCCAGTCCATTATCCTCACTACGGTAGGGGATACTGATCTGGATGCTTCTGCCTGTGTTGAAAGGAAAGCTTGATTTCATTGCAATTGGTCCTTGGGCAGGGGGCTGGACTCGATGACCTCCTGAGGTCTCTTCCAGCCCTAGGATTGTATAATTCTATGATTCTGTGTTTTCTTTGATTAGTCACAGCCCAGGGTGTGATGCAGCAATATTCCCAGCAGTGAGTGTGTGCACAGGAGTGTGTGGCCCTGAAAGTCAGACAGGATCAATGCTGTTTGGTAATGAGGGTGTTATTTTTGGACGCCACTGGGAAGAGGGACCAGTCAAGCCAAGTCTTGCCTTGTCTTTGCTTTGCAAAAATCCCCAGAAAGGGCTGAATCGGTCCCTGGTCAGTGGGACTGCCCCAAGGACAGTGACACAATGCCTTGGTCTTTTTGGAGAGCAGCGGAGAATTCCACGGGACTTTTCAAAGTCCCCTTTGTTGTGTTTTTGAGTTTCCAACACTGGCTCCTTACCTTTGCTTGAGTGAATCATATCCCGTCTGGGACCTCACTTATATAACTGTGACAGAAGGTACGTTTCTGTGCAAGGAAGATTGTCTTGTCACGTGGCAATGCTTCGGATTTGTCAATTCAGATTTGGATTATTTAGTCTAGTGAATTTAGTTTAAATGTTCTTTTTCTCAGGAACACGAACCTGTTATGTCAACAGGAGTTTGTTCTAAGAATGGAAACGTTATTGTTTAGTTCCTGACAAACAAAGATGTCTGGTAATAATAAGGAGAAACTGTATCTCTCTAATGGGCCAGATTAGGAGACATCCTTACTCGTCTAGGTCTAGTTCCACTGTCAGTTACATGAATGTAAATCTGGAGCAATACTATTAATTCAATGGGGCTATTCTACCTTTACACTGGTGTAACACAGAGCACTACTTGGACCATTGAGTAGCAACGTACCCCCATGAAGAGTCAGCGCCATTAACAGCAATGAGACTACTTGTGTAAAGCAGTCGTACATAACCAGAGATCTAGGCCCCCTGAGGGGCTGTGAGTAGGTTTCAAGGGGTCTGCCAAGCATGGCTGGTGTTAGACTTGTAGGGCCCAGAGTAGAAAGCCAAAGCTCCACTGCGCAGGACTGAGCCTGGGCCCCAAGCCCCATTACCTGGGGCTGAAGCCAAAATCTGAACAGCTTTGTGGTGCCCATGGGCAATCGGTGAGGGCAGACACAGGGGACCATGGGCCACGTGACCCCCTCCCAGCCCAGGGATAGGCTAAAACAACATTCCTCCATCTTAGGCCTGTCTCTCCCTGCTCTTGTTTTGCCCCCACCAGGCCTCTTCCCCCAGCCAGTGTGTCTTGGGGGACTAAGAGGGCCGGGAGTCTGATGCCGGCAGCAGGGGTCTTCCTGCTGGTGAGTGCCATTCCCTGAGTAGCTCACCGGGACTGCAAAGCAAGCTGGGGCCATGTTGCTCTGCTTCCCCCATGCTGACAGTGAGTGTGGGGGGAGACCCCTGCTGTGGGCATCAGGCCTCTCCTGGACTGCCCTGAGGCTCTGCTGGCCAGCTCCTGGCCTCTCCCACCCATGGCATTTGGGAGCATAGGCCCCTTTGTGTCCCCCATGCCTCAATCTTGGGGGTGTCCCCTGTGGTCCTGAGCAATTCATAGAATCACAGAAGATTAAGGTTGGAAGAGACCTCAGAGAGTCATATAGTCCAGGGGTTTTCAAACTCTGGGTTGCTGCTTGTAAGGGAGAGATGCTTTGTTTACCTGCGCCTCTCAGGTACAGGCAATCACAATGCCCATTGGTGGTGGATCGCCATTCCTGGCCAATGGGAGCTGTGAGACGTGGTGTCCTGCCCCGCACCACTTTCCGCAGCTCCCATTGGCTGGGAACAGCGACCTGTGGCCAATGGGAGCTGTGATTGCCTGTAGGTAAACAAAGCATCTTGCGGCCAGCTAGCAACTTGTCCTTACAAACTGCAACCCAAAGTTTGAAAACCCTTGATCTAGTTCAACCCTTGCTCCACGCAGGACCAATCCCAACTAAATCATCCCAGGCAGGGCGTTGTCAAACAGAGACTTAAAAATCTCTAGGGATGGAGATTCCACCCCTTCCCTAGGTAACCCATTCCAGTGCTTCACCACCCTCCTAGTGAAATAGTTTTTCCTAATATCCAACCTAGACCTCCCCCGCTGCAACTTGAGACCATTGCTCCTTGTTCTGTCATCCATCACTACTGTGAACAGCCTCTCTCCATCCTCTTTGGAACTTCCCTTCAGGTTCCAAAGGCTGCTATCAAATCCTCCCTTACTCTTCTCTTCTGCAGACTAAGCCCAGTTCCTTCAGCCTCTGAGCCAGGATCCCTTTGCCTGTCAGGCTGAGGACAAACTAGAGGCCACAGCTCATTCTCTAGTGCTGAGTCCCTGTGTGACCAGGCCTACTGCTAGCCAGGCCTACCTGTGGCACCTTTAAATTCTCTTGCCCTGATTTTGTTTAGTCTTCAGCCTATTCAGCAATCCTTGGCCTGTTCTCCATCTGGTAATATTGCAGATTATCTTCTATCTGTCTCTCTTCTTTGTCTTTCTACCTTTAGGTCCTCTTTGCTGCTCCTCTATCTGGTGGACCTAGAATCACACCACATGGCTTTCTGGTTCCTTTTCTCCTCCTCTGTCACATTTCTGCCACTCATCCTCCTTTTCCCTCCCTCTCCCTATTTTTGCCTCCCTCCTGGCTTAGTTTAGCATTCTGCTTAACTTCTCAATTTGCATGATCTGGTCAGATCTCTAACATAGGCCATAGGCTCTCTCACAATAATTCTTGCCCTTCACTTCTGCTTGAACTAGAGCATATCCTCTAATTTTCTTCTTCCTTTATGCACAAGTGTGTGCCTTTGCCATCTGAGTAGTGGAAGTGAAAATAAAAACTGTGCTAATGGCCAACATGCTCATTGTGCTTCAATACCAAGATATCAACAAACATGAGAATTCTCCTCTCCTTGTGTCTGTGCTAATTCCTTAGCATCAACGTTCTCAGTACATCCTAGTGCAAATCTCAAGTGTTTAACAAAGCTAAGGACATGGGACCGCTGCCAGTGCAAGGTGAGGTTTACTAGGGAAATCCATCAGTGTGTTGAGATAGGACTTTGTTACGTATTGTAATGAAGTCCTCTTAGGACTTTTATTCACACAGTGGGGAGAGAATGCCTGTATTCCTGCTCCAAAAGCTGCGATGGCGCTCAAGAAGAATCTTCACTGGCAGTTAGGGTAGTAGTGCCTTTGACACACACAGTTGAGCCAGCTGATGTACCTTAATAGTCATACAGAGCATAGGGCAAGTGGTGTTTGGTGCATTTCATAGAGACCGGTCCCGCTTGCAAAGCGGGCAGCTAAAGTGGAACTTTCCCAAAGTTCAGGGGTACTCAGAGACATTTGCTCTGTACGGTTTGATCTCCAGCATTTTGATCGCTTATAATTTATGGCTTTGAATATTCCTCCCTGTCATAAACCCCTGAATGACTCAGTGCTTTTCCCCTTTGAAACACAAAATAAGCAAGTTATATGTATCTGGAGCTTCCCCCACTGCATTCAGCCTTCCCACGGCCTAGCTGACATTACCTGTCTTTTCCCTGTAGGCAGATTAATATTGAATGCAATTTTCATTCTGACAGAAAACAGCTGCAATTTTATGGTAATTTTCCCCCTTCGGCAAAGTCGTTTAATTATTCCTCTTAGTCAGCCTGTGCAGTTTACCATTAAAAGCTGACACATCTTCCAGGTAGCCTATTGACAGCAGCTGACAAATAGGCAAGGAGAGAGCTGAAATCAAAGTACCCACCGCTCCACGACTAACATTCTTGTGGAAGAACAGAAAAACTCTTGACATTTAACAAGCAAGTATTAGCCTGGCTGCTCATAAGTAATTAATCTTCACACATTTCTTTGGAGAAGGCTGTTGGAAACATAATTGCAAAGGCAAGAAAGGAAGAGGGGAGGAAACAGGCTTTTAAGAAAGAAAAATTGATTTTATCTCTTTAGTGCAGGGTTGTTTCTAGAAACTTTCTGAGTGTTCTCTGTGGTACTAAAGCGGAAAACTGCACTTGAAGGTAAAATTGAAGGCAAATTGCATTTACTTTAAATAATGCCATTCTTAAATGAGTACAATTTTTGTGCAAAAATAGATTAAGATCCCAATGGTTGGCTGCAGCTAATATCTACTGTGACGCTATTTGTTTCAGTTTAGGAAACCAACCAGATTTTCTCTCTGCTGTGGTGAGTTGATAATCTGCAGGGCTCCCTATCAGCGGCAGTTCCTTTTCAGTGAAGTTGTTTTTGGTATAATAGTGATCGTACCTATCTTGTATACAGTGCTTCTCATCCATAGCTCATCTTATCTCCACTTTACGCATGGGGAAAGAGAGACATGGAGTAGCAAAGTGACTTGCCCATGGTCATGCAGCAGGCCAGTGGAATTAAACCTAGACCTCCTTAATGCTAGTTCCATGCTCTATCCACTAGGCAACAGTTAGTAGCACATAGGGCCATCAGAGATGAGTAAAAACTGCAGGGTTCAGCACCGAGGGTACATCTACCCTGCACACTTATTTCAAAAGAAGCTATTCTGGAAGAAATACTCCAAAATAGCTTATTTTGAAATAGCACGTCTACACTACAGAGAAGCCTCAAAATTAGTCCGAGGCAGGCTCCCCTAATGTGGATATGCTATCTCGATTTAGAGCCCCAGGAGTCACTGGGGAGTAATCAGTTTGAATGGCCCTATGAGGAGCTAATTTGAACCAGCAGTAGTAGAGCGTCCACACTACTGCTATTCCAAAATAGCTCTTTCGGAAGAGGCGTTTTTCCTCATGGAATGAGGTTTACAGATTTTGAAAGAAGCCATCCGTTATTTCAAAATTATTTCAAAATAACAGACTTGCTGTGTAGATGCTCACATTTTATTTTGAAATACCTGTGCTGGGTAGACTCATCCCCAAGTGAGTAACCAGCCCAATAGCCAGTGAAGTATACAGATGTATTTCCTGGTAAATAGCTCTAGACCAGGGCTACTTAAATGGGGCCTGTGTGTTGTGTAGTCTTGCCTTAATCTTTGTCTTCATGCCCATCAGTGTGACAGAAGCTATTTGCATATACAGGTCTCGATTCAACTTTGGAAGCCCCAGGGGCCATAATGATACTCAGCACATGCCGAGGGCCGCAACTGAAGTGTGGTTGCATGTACATACAAATATATATGCACAGGGCTCAACAAATCCGCATATCTACTCGTCTGTGGTGAGTCGATTTCAGCTGGTCGCCCCATTCACCAGCAATTCACGCATGCGCAGTGTGGGTCTCGCGCATGCGCAGTGCGGGGCTGGCGAGTGGTTTTCGCGGCAATCGTCAAGCCCTGTATATGCAAATATATGCAAATAGCTTCTGTCACACTGATGGGCATGAAGACAAAGATTAAGGCAAGACTACACAATACACAGGCCCCATTTAAGTAGCCCTGGTCTAGAGCAATATTTATCCCATTTCTACCCATAGAACAGCACTTTTAATGAGCAATGACAGTCCAGGAATTTAACTACTAAAATGCATATGAACAGAAGACCATTATATTGACTCACCATTATGGAGCGTGTTCCCAATGGAGGCCATGTTCAAAGGATCCTACCTGTGGACTGTGTGTTGAGGCCTGCGTAAACCCAAACTGCACTGCAGGCCGTGTGTTGAGTAGCCCTGCTCTAGACAATGTTTGGAGAAAAGGAGAAGTTACAGGAACTTTGAAAATATATTTTTTCATATAATATTATTATTTATATTATAGTAGCACCAAGAGGCCTTGAATGAGCTCAGGGTCCAACAGTGCAAGCCTCTGTACATACACATAGCAAGAGACAGTCCTGCTCTCAAAAGCTTGCCATCTAAATAGACTAGTAGGACAAATGAAGACTATTATTCCCATTTTACAGGTGAGGAATCCAGGCACAGAGAGGAGATATGACCTGCCCAGAGCCACATAGGGAGTCACAGACAGTGAATCCAAGTATCCTGGATCCTAGTCCAGTTTAGTAACCCTCAGTCCCCCTCCTGTCGCAGTCATGCTGTTATTCCAGTCCCTTTGTTTTCCTGTAGGTACTATAAGAGTTCCGTGGTGCTCATGTGCTTTGTGATCCCCACCCTGGTGCCCTGGTACATCTGGGGGGAGAGTCTGTGGAATTCCTACTTCCTTGCTTCTATCCTTCGTTACACCGTCTCGCTGAATGTCACCTGGCTGGTCAACAGCGCAGCTCACATGTACGGCAATCGTCCCTATGACAAGTACATCGGCCCCCGGCAGAATCCATTTGTCACTTTAGGAGCAATTGGTGAGTACCCAGCAAAATGTTTCTCTGACGCTTTAACTTGGGTTATTTTGTGCTTTGTCAGTCTCTAGCTCTCAGTCAGATTCACTGCAAACAGAGCAGCCACTAGTACCGTGTGCATAGTCAGCAAGCCGGTCCTTGGTGCTTAGTCCTGGGCAGGATTTAGGCAGGCTAAGCACAGTCTGTGAGCCAGATAGCTGGGCAATTCCTGGGCCATGAAGTCTGGCATCCTAAGTAAAGATTCCCTTGTGTGTTTATCACACCTGAGCCCGGTCTCATAAGAGACACGAAATTAAATCCATTTCACCAACTGGCCATGCCCTCCCATGGCACTCAGTTATGAAACAATTATTACAGTTATGGCATAAAATGCGGCTAAAGCTTAGCAGCAGCAGTGCCCCAAAACCGTCGTGGGCACTGTACAAATCCATTGCTTCTGGCCACGATTTTCAAAAATATGGGCCTGAACTTAGGTGCCTGCAGAGAAGATTCTTAAAAGGCAGAGGGGGCAGCTAGGTTTCCAGCCACCTACGGAAATGGAGTGTTTATCTGCCCTTTGTGCCTCTGAAAATCTCCCCTAGTTCATGTATTTAGGTGCCTAAGTAACTGGTCTGATTTGAAGAAATGTTGAGCACCCGGGAACATCTGTCGATCCCAGTGGGAGCAGTTGGATATGCTGCACTCTTGAAAACCAGCCATTTCTATTGCTTCCATTGAAGCCTGTTATATTCCATGAGATTCTTAAACTGCTCTCAACACTTTAGTGCCTGAGCACCCGCCAGATGTGCATTAAGCAACATCACTACACATCTGGCACATATTGTTTTGCCCTCTCATCCTCTGCCCGGAGGGACAAGTGTGTGCGCAGTGATGTGCCTTGTATCCTTCTTGCTGTGTTTTTAGATTAGAGAAGATCAGAGAAACATGCCTTGTAAGTGGAGTGGAAAGTGATGAGGTTTGCGATGGCCCATAATTCCTTGGGGGAGTTCATTCCATGTCTCAGACAGACCTCCGCAGAAACTTCTGTCTGCTTCAGACAGGCTTTTCTCTTACGAGAGTGCAATTGTGCATGAGGGAAAAGCGTCCGTGCCAATCTAGACGCGCTTTTGCCATTTTCGCGAGCGGGGCTTTTTTGCGCAAAACAAATCTGAGCTGTCTACACTGGCCCTTTTGCGCAAAAGGAGCAGCATAGTATTTCTGCACTGTTCTTGTGGAAATTCAAGCGGCCAGTATAGACAGCTGCTTTTGCGGAAAAACTTGCCAGTCTAGACACAGCCTTACTGTCCTGGGTCATGGAAAATAAGGGCTGAGATCTTGTACTTAATTTGAAAATCTATGGGAAACCAGTGCAGAGAGTGGAGGGAGAGGTCTGATGTGTTTGTCGTGGCGTTGTAGCCTGTATGCTGCAGTGTTCAGAACTAGTTCGCTCCCACGCCCACGGCCAGGTCTTCATCCACCAGCACAGGACAGTTTCCTAGCCAAAGAGAGAGATTAAAAAGAGTTACTCACGGATGCAATTAAGTGAGAATTCAGAGAATTCTCTAAGTGATCCAAGAGTACTCCTAGACTATGAACTGAGCTGACCATTTGTGGGTGTGTATCTTCAGCCAATGAAGACTGGCCCATACCTGCAAGCCCTTCAAGATGCTTTCCTCTGCCTACTAGCATCACCTCTGCCTTACTCAGCTTCAGCTTCAGTCAGATGTTCTTCACCCATGAGCTGATCTCATCCACGCTCTAGGCCATCTTGATGGTAGTGCTGTGTCCATGTGTGAATATGGTTGCATGCCGATGCTGAGAAGGATTGAAGAGAGAACTTGATCCTTGTGGAACTCCACATGTGAGTGATCTGGTAGTCGAGGTGCCGTTTCCCTTCACTACTTATTGGATGGATCCCTCCAGGAAGGGCTTAAGACATTTCAGCACCTTACCCTGAATCCCTGCATCTTTCTCTGGTGAGACAACAGAATCTCAGTCAACATTGTAGGATGCTGCCAAGAGGTCCGGGAGCATGAGAATGGACGTCTCTCATCTCTGTCCATTGGCAGGAGAAGATCATCCAACAATGCCACTAGAGCAGTCCTGGTCTACAAGCTTGGAACTGCAGGTCTGCCAGTGGATAGTAGTTGTCTTGGATCAAAGCATCCAGGGTGGGTTTCTTCAGCAATGGTCGGACTAGTGTATGTTCGAAAGAGGAAAGGAAGTTTCCTTCTTTGAATGAGGCATTGACTATGTCACTCAGGAGTGACACCAGTTGTTCAAGACTCTTTCACAAGCCAGGAAGGGCACAGATTGGATTCACAGCTCTTAGACTGAGACTCCTTTAAGGTGTCCAGAACTTCTTAATGAGTTAACTCTGGGAATGCAGGTGGGCTATTGGTTGGTGGGTGGAGTGGATCCTGGCTGGTTGAGAAGGCTTCTTAATGGTGCGTGATGTTTTCAGAGAAGTGGGGTGATAGTTCCATACAGCATCCAAAGCAGGTTTGAGTCATTCAGGATTAATGTAGCTGTTTAACATCCTGGATGATTACTTGGGATGGGATTTAACAGCCACAATGGAGGCTAATAGGAAGTTTTCTTGGCTTGTAGTTTAGCTTTAGCATAGGCTCTGAGGAATTCAGTATATTTCAGCACAGGGGGGTCAGTAAACCCCAAGATCTGTGTGAGCAATGGGGAGGATAGGACTGTTTGCCAGTGGCGGAAGCCATTGTAGAATGGCAGCTAGGTTCTCGGCCTCCCGTCCTGTGGATGGAGAGCTCTTATCCTTTGGCAGGCTTTGGAATTTGTTGGAGTCCATGAGTCTTCATAGCTGAATCAGGTTCACAGGACCTTCTTATTGTCTGAATACGGGAAGGTCTCCGAGTCTGACCACTGCCTTCATGAGGTGATCATCTAAGACAGTGTCTGGGTTGTGAGGTCCTCCATTTTGCCATCTAGGACAAGAAACAAGTCCAAGGTTTGACCAGTCAATGTGAGTTGGAGCAGAGGTGGTGACCCATTGAAATCCTAAGGTGCTGACGGGGTGGGCATAACCCACGCTAGAACAGGAGGGGGTGAAAACCATGTGAGCAGAGGAAGTCCCGCCCCTTCAACCAGACTGGGCATGCTCCATGTGCTAGGGCAGTATAAAAGGCCAGAGAGCAGCTCAGTCTGGGCTGGCCAGCGGAGAGGAAGGATCTCTACACAGAGCTTCAGTGCTGCTACAGCCCGCCTACCCGACAGAAGGGGCTGAAGTTCCAGGAAGCTGCCACAAATCAGCCCCAATGGAGACCCAGGGAGACAGCTGCTGCCAGGGAGCTGGGAGACCCAGCCGCCACATGGGATGACGCCCCAGCCAGACCGGTAGGAAGCGGCCCAAGGAGGGTGCAGGAGCCACCTCTCCCACCCAGGCACTTTTGGCGTGTTTCAGCCGGATTCTCTGCCAAGAGGGAGTGGTAGGCAGCCCCACTGCTCACAGGGCCCTGGGCCGGGACCCAGTGGAACAGGGTAGGCCCAGGTCCCCCAACCGGGGCTATTAGGCTATACTACCCTCAAGGCAGGAAGGCGTATTGACTTGGGCTGTTAAGCCCTACTGCCCTGAAGCAAGGGTACTCACTGAGGGTATGTCTACACAGCTAAGTTATTTCAAAATAACAGCTGTTATTTCGAAATAACTATCCTAGCGTCTACGCAGCCATTCCGTTATTTCGAAATTAATTTGAAATAGCAGAGGGCTTATTTCGAAATTGGTAAAGTTCATTCCATAAGGAATAGTGCCAATTTCAAAATTGCTATTTTGAAATAAGCACTGTGTAGATGCTTGTATCAAAATAGGGGGCCTCCAGCCCTTCCCAGGGTGCCCTGCTGGCCGCCCTGGCCACAAGGCAACTTCTGACCTAATGCCCTGCCGGAACTGGTTCCAACCAGCATTAAATGTGATTCAATGTCCACTCAGTGTGGACACGCTATTTCGAAATACAAAAACGCTATTTCAAAATGCATTTTGTGTATAGACGTGTTATTTCGAACTAAGCTATTTTGAATTAACTATTTAGAAATTAGATATTTCGAAATAACGCTGTAGTGTAGTCATACCCTGACTCTGTCTATTAGGCCATACTACCCTGAAGCCAAGGAGGCTGAGTGACTAAGGCTGTTAAACCCTACCACCCTGAAGTAAGGGTGCTTGCTGACTCGGGCTATTAGGCCTTACTACCCAGAAGCCAGGAAGGCTTATTGACTTTGGCCCTTTTTTCCCGGAAGGGGCAGGCTGACTTACGGACTTAGAGTTGTGCAGGGATAAAGAGACTTATGGACCAGTGCGACGGCCACAACCGCACCCCGGAATAGCCCCATTCCTGTGACGGGATGGGCAAACGCCACCACAAGAGGGAAGTGAGGGGATGAGTTTGGGGGCTTTGGCATCTGTAGCCTTGTCAATGTGCATTGAAATCTTCTAGGCATTTCACCACCATCTCCGGCAAGGAAGGGGCCAGTGAACTTCTTTATGAATCATTAATCTGTGGTGGTCTGTAAACGAGCATAAAACCAATGTTAGCTTCGCTCTGGTTTCATCTGCTAGATGCAGGAATTCAAATAAAACTGAGGCATCTCTTTTGCCTTTGATGTTTGCTGAGAAGGAAAAGGTGGGACCACCTGCCTTCGTGTCCTGTCCCTACATCTGTGATGTACTGAGTATCCTGGAGCGAACGAGGTGTCCTAGCTCAGGGCTTGCTGCAGTGTCCTCCAGCCAGGTCTCGAGCATGCAGGCTATCCTGGGTGCTTTGTCACTGATGAGGTCGTATATTGATTCGCGTTTATTCTTGGCAACTAATCTTGCGTTGATCATTAGCAGCATTAATATGTACTGCTCTCTGCTGTCTGCTTCTGCCCCTGTCTAGTTAAGGGTCCTGTGCAGTGTGTTGGGGTGTTTAAATGTCAGAAATCAGGTTTCTTATTTCTGCTTTTCCATTTCCTTGGACAGTCCCTCCCATTTGAACAGCAATAGGTGATGATGTAGATGTCGCCATGGGTTGGAAACTTATTAAAAATGTTGCCCTTAGATACTAAATATGGATTTAGGCTCTTCCTATGAGGTACCTATTTTTGCCATTGTATTCATCATGCACAAGTGTAGGTGAATCTGACTTCTGCTGTTCCTACTGTCAGACTAGCTGCTCCTCCTCCTCCCCTTTTAATCACAATATATCTGCATTCTGACCAGCCCACCTAGTGTCCCAAAGTCAGGGCTCTGACCTGCTACTCTAGCCAATAAAATGGACATTTCTCACTTCCCAGCGCTAACCTAGCAGTAAATGAAACCTCATGTCACCCGATTATCCTCTTCCTTATTATTTGAATATATTGGCTTTTTTACAGCCAATCACACCATTGCCACATGTAAATGTCATGCGTGACTGTCAGCCACCCTTGCATGCAAAAGACAGGGCCTGTGCACAGTCCTCTTGAACAAGTACTTCAGTGAGAGGAAGGTTATGATGAAATGAAAGGAAGGGTTGTTAGCTGCCATTGAGGATGTATAGTTTTTCCAGCAATAGAAAGGATGTCAGGGAGCTTATCTCTGCTCTGCCCTCAGCCTGTCTCCTGTGCCCTCTCTCATTGCAGGTTTTCTCGGCTCCCTGCTGCTGCCTGATTTTTCACCCGCTCTCTTAGAGTTGTCTTAAGAATTCTACCAGTGTATGACTCAAGCCCTGTTAGAAAGAAGTGTTACAATTCTCTCTGCAACCTTAAGGGAAACATCCATTCAGCAGCAAGACATTTGACAGGGAGCCTGCAGCTTGGCTATTGCCCTCAGAATGCTAAACATGTTTTTCTTCTTCAGATACCTGGGCGCGGCTTTGTCTGACAGCAGCATGTCCTGTCTAAGTAGCTGGGCTGGATGCTACCAATGGTTGTCGGGACAGGAAACTGGAACCGGCATTGAAACCAGTTTAGTTTATAGTGCGTGCGGGACAAAAAAATCTCGCACCTCCCCGTTAGAGGCATTGAGCTGCTGAGCTGAAAAGAGATTTGTTTTGCCTCCACGAGCTGTCGAGCTGTTCTCAACAGTGGATCCTTCGGGTTCATTTCTGACAGCCTTGGAATGGGCCAGTTCTCTGCTGTGAAAGAGCCGAAAGGGAACTTCTTCCCTAGTTCTCATCCTTGTAAAATCACATTGCATCACTCCTGTCACAGCGCCTCCTTGTGGCCACATCTGAGGATTAACTTACAACCAGTCTAGTACCTCCCTCCCTCCCCCCATTCCATTTCTCACCCCATGGTAGAATCCTAGGGCTGGAAGACACCTCGGGAGGTTATTGAGTCCAGCCCCCTGCACAAAGCAAGACCAACCCCAACTAAATCATCCCAGCCAGGGCTTTGTCAAGCCGAGACTTAAAAACCTCTAGGGATAGAGATTCGACCCCCTCCCTAGCTAACCCATTCCAGTGCTTCACCACCCTCCTAGTGAAATAGTTTTTCCTAATATCCAGCCTAGACCTCTCCCCACTACATCTTGAGACCATTGCTCCTTGTTCTGCCATCCATCACTACTGTGAACAACCTCTCTCCAGCCTCTTTGGAACCTCCCTTCAGGAAGTTGAAGGCTGCTATCAAATCCCCCCTCACTCTTCTCTTCTGCAAACTAAATAAGCCCAACTCCCTCAGCCTCTCCTCATAGGTCATGTGCTCCAGCCCCCTAATCATTTTGGTTGCCCTCTGCTGGACCCTCTCCAATGCATCCACATCCTTGCTGTAATGGAGGGCCGGGAGCTGGACGCAATACTCCAGATGGTCTCATTATTGCCCCTCCATTCCTCAAGATGCTCCCTCTTCATGACTTGGTCCTGTGGCCAAGTTAATAAAGTTCTCTCTTTCCGGGATTTCAAAGTGCCTGAGGGCATGTCTACACTACCCCCTAGTTCGAACTGGCGGGGGTAATGTAGTCATCCGCAGTTGCAAATGAAGCCCAGGATTTGAATTTCCCGGGCTTCATTTGCATGAAGCCGGCCGGCGCCATTTTTAAATGCCGGCTAGTTCGAACCCCGTGCCGCGCGGCTACACACGGCACGGAGTAGCTAGTTAGGATTAGGCTTCCTAATCTGAACTAGCTGTACTAGTTGGAATGAGGAGTACAGCTAGTCCGGATTAGGAAGCCTAATCCGAACTAGCTACTCCGTGCCGCGTGTAGCCGCGTGGCACGGGGTTCGAACTAGCCGGCATTTAAAAATGGCGCCGGCCGGCTTCATGCAAATGAAGCCCGGGAAATTCAAATCCCGGGCTTCATTTGCAACTGCGGATGACTACATTACCCCCGCTAGTTCGAACTAGCGGGGTAGTGTAGACATACCCTGAGGCAATTTGTCCAGTAGGAGTCTTCTGCTCCACTGCCCAGTCTGTGCCATTTCCCCAGTGACCAGTGGGGGAACCCAGCTCACCTGCTGCTGCAGGTTTCAGCCCAGCAATCCTACAACCAGTGGGCAAAGTCTGCACTGATCCACACCTGGCTGCTTTTCCCCTGAGCTGCTTCCTCAGTCACCTCCATCTGGCTCCTCCATCTTCCTCTGGGTTTCCTTCCCTCCAGGGCTTCTAATCCTGCTCCCATTTGCTCCTTTCTCTCTCTCAGCCTGGAGAGTTACTGCAGCCCCCTTCTTTCTCTCTAATTGCTGGTTTTAAAGCTGCTTAGTCTGCCCCTCATTAACTAAAAGTTTCAGCCTGGACTCTTCTCCCCTCCCCTGCCTCCCTGTGCAGCCTGTCGCAGCCTTAATTGGCCCTTTCTCAGTCCTTGTGTGAGGTAGGCACCCGGTTTCCTTCCTGTTTTCCAGCATGTGTTTTAGCAATAGGGGATTGTTTATTAAATGAAGTCAAATATCTTTGGTTCCCCCTCTCAATGGGGAAGCAAAACCACAATGCACTTTATTGATCCAATGACCAAGTTTGCTGCAGAAACCTTCTGTATCTATAGATGTAGCTTCATGTGAACTGAATTAAGCTACATCAGCGTAAACCACTCGTAAATTGACATGAGGATCCACGCCGCGGTTTATACAGTTTAACGAAATCAATATAAAAACTGGCATTTGTGAAACTGGTGCAACTTTTGCACATAGGGAGGCCAAAGTGTGGAAGAAAACAAGCCTTCATTCTGCATTTGAGAGCAACAAGTAGTCAGAGACAGTTTATTTGAGCAATATTGCAAGGGAGGAAGCTGCTGTTAGGCAGATCGTCAAATACAAAACAATTAGAAGCCAATATTATATATAAACAGACAGTATATATAACAATAAACAATTATTCCCCTTTCCATAACAATTCCCTTCAGAACTAGAGTCAGCATTCTATCCTTATCTCAAGCACAAGAGAGAGGCGAGAGGCGAGAGGCGAAAACAGCGTCTCTCACAGCTCTCTCGTTGTTAGGTCTCAGAGTTAGCATGAGTTAGGCTAACCAAAAGTTCAAAATGGCTATATACAAATCCCTTAGCTTCCACAATAGAGAGAGACCAATTGATTGATAAGGCCATAATCCTGCAACTTTTTCCTCTCTCTACATTTTACATCAATGAGGTACCAGATGGGGTTACACCAGGGTAAACATATTACGGGATCAGGTATCTATTGATGTATCTAATCACCACCTGAAAAGTGACACATTGGCCACCACACCTAAAATCTCTCTCTTGTTTTTTTCTAGGTGAAGGCTTCCACAATTACCACCACACCTTTCCATTTGATTACTCGGCCAGTGAGCTTGGCTTGAAATTCAACCCAACCACATGGTTCATTGACTTCATGTTTTGGTTGGGATTGGTTACTGACCGAAAACAAGCTCCAAAGGAGATGATCTTAGCCCGCAAAGAGAGGACTGGTGATGGCAGTGCTTGAAAATGTAATATTTCTGTATAAATCTATGTTGTCGTGTGTGTGTGTATGTGTATGTGTGTGCATTTTTTCTTTGGGAAGGTTTTTTTTTTTAAGAGTAAAAGGGATCAAATTAATCTCTGGGATAACTCCAGTGGTTTTATGTCAGAGGTGAATTTAGTCCTTTTTTCCCTATTAGTTGTCTTATGTCCAAATTCCCAGACTATTAAGTGTAAAAAATAATGGATATTATTTAATATTAGCATTAAACATCTTAGATCTTTGATTTTAGTCATTCTAGTTAGAAGTCCAATGTACACTGTAATACCTTTGCTCATGTTAACCCTGGCAAGATGGAGGAAATAACTATCCTTTCAAAGTGCAGTTCAGGTGAACACTTGTTTCATTTTTACAAGTCAAGCAAACATGCTTTGAGAGAGGTTTTTTTTGGGGGGGGGAGGAAGGGAAGTGGGAGGGGACAGGGAGAGGACTTGATAATGCTGATATAAAAACAAACCGAAAAGAATGTGCTTTTTTAAAACATATACTGGAGAAAACCCAGTTTTAAAAAGGATGTTTGTCTGGAAATCTGTTTTCTTATTTGTGTTTGCAAGACCCTTGTTCCACCGTCTTTGTTTATATGAAATTCATTTCTTGCAAAGCAGGCTTTTGTGTTAAAAGCTTACACACTATACAAGCCAAAACACAAACTGATGGCATGCCTAGCTCATTCATTCATTGTCACATAAACCTTGTAACTCGTAAATGTATACTGCTGAACTATGTCCTAACCCAAAAAAAGCTTTGATTTTAAATGTTTGGAGACCTAATTTATATTCTAACAGGTCACAGCCACTGCTGCATGCATATTTTAGCTACTTCTGCACAATAGGCATCTTCATTTTTTTTCCAGCTTTCATTATCAGGTCTTTAAAACCTGGCCTTTATCTAGATTGCTGTTTTTTCCTAATGTTACAACTGCATGCAGCCTTTATTGGTTTCACAGCAAAATACATTTTTAAACAGTACTGTAGCTTCTGGATTTAACAGTTGCCTTGTAAAAGCAGCATGCTGGATTAATGCGACCTACCGCCCTTTGTGTTAGATGGTAGGCAGTGCAGGAGAAAGGCTTTATGTTGGCTGCACTGGAGCACTTTTAAAGACAGATTCTCTGATTCTCATTTACACTGTGGGCTTGTCTACACTTAAAATGCTACAGCTGAACCACTTCAGTACAGACCCTACCTATGCTCATGGGAGGGGTCTCCCACTGGAGCAGGTATTCCACCTCCCCAAGAGGCAGTAGCTAGCTTGGTGGAAGAATTCTGTCAACCTAGAGCTCTTTAAACAGGGGTGGTTTTTATGCTCTCAGGGGTGTGCATTTTTCACACCTCTGACCAACATAGTTCAAGCAATCTAATCGTCTAGTGTAGCCCAGACCTAAAATTCCCTTCACCCTGCTCTGGCAGTGTGCACGTGCCCACTTTCACTGCAAAAGGAGCAGAGAGGGTTGGTCTTAGTATAAATGAGAATCATACCCAGTTATTTTCAGAAAGGATGTAGAATTTGAAAACCAAACTCAGTTCTTTAGTTTGTTTAGGCTTTTTTGTTTGTTTGTTTTGTTTTAAATGATGCCAATATAAAAGAAATGTCCTTACTATGTACTTCATCCAGGAAGTGTTTAACTGTGTTAATTTGCCATTAATGACATGTAAACTCTTGAGTGATTTACAATAAACAGCTGTGAATTAGCTTGTGTGCAGGCCTGTATTTGAAGCTCTTTCATTAAGTGGAGGCTTTATGACTGAATGATTATAAATATTACACTCCTGCTCTTTGCCCAATGGCTATTTCAAATCCTCGTGATTTCTCATTTAGGTATGAACATGGCTCCATGCATTACCATAGTATCTACCACCTCAAAACATTAATGAAGTCCTCCTCTTATCACCCCAGAGGGGTAGAAAAGTATCGTTGCTCGTATGTGATAGATGGGGAATCTGAGATGACTTTTTCAAGTTCACACAGGACATTAGTATCAAAGCCAGGAATGAAATGCAAATCTCTTGAGTCTCATCCAGAGTCTTAACTATAAGATCATCACCTGCTTTTTTGCTTCCTTCAGTCTTGTCATAAAGTTGGTGTGACAGACTGCGCTGGGTCTGGGCACCGCTGTGGGGGCCAGCTCAGGGGAAGTTGCTCAAAACCAGGGCTACTTACAGCCCTTGACTGGAGACCTTTCCCAAATAGGCCACAGGCCAGTCACACAGAGCACTTCAGCTGCCAACCTAGCCAGCAGGAAGCTTCACAAGCAAAACCCCTCAGAGACCCCCCGCTCTCCCCATGCCACAATCAGCCCCGGGCCTTACACACAGGTGAGAGGGTATGAAACCCGATCTCACCAACTCCGAACAGATCCTCCCAGTCCCAAAGAACCAGCCACAGTCCCCAGTTAATTTACACTTTAGATCTTACCCACAAGAGCACACTGGGCCAGTCCTTTAGAATCTAAAATCTAAAGATTTATTAATAAAAGAAAGAAAAGGTTGAGAGTAAGGTTGTTAAGGAGAATACATTACACACATCAATCACCAAGGTCGTGATGCAGGCTCTTAGCAGAGATGTTACAAACTGCTAGCTTAGAAGTCTCTGGTGCACATCCTGTATTAGGATGGGTCAGCAATTCTTCCCGGTTTTCTGTCCCTAGCAAGGATGCATCTGGAATCAGTAGCAAGACTGAAGACAAGATGGAGAAGGCCTCATGGGATTTTTATATTCCTTGTATCTCCCAAACTGGAGCTGGTTACATGATCAAGTGACCTGTCTGTGTTTCCCAGGCTAGTAGCCATGAGGCACTGGCCGGCCTGCAGGCTTCCAGACCCATCCCTCAGGTGTGTATTGGCCACTCCCGAGAGCCATTATCCATGGAGAATTGCTAGTTAGCCCAGCTAGTCACTGAACAATCCTTCCTCACAATAGGCAGTCCAGGCATATTGCTCCCTCCCAGACAGAACATTTACATTACAAGTACAGAGCCCATATTCATAACATCACACACAAAAATCATACAAGTATATGAGTATCATACATAGAATCAGTAGAGCATACATTTTCATTTGATACCTCACATGGGCCACTTGGTACAGAATTTGGGGCAAACCCCACCCATGGGTGCAGCAGTGATCTGCCTGCTCACTTTACAGTCCAATAGCATAACAGCTGGGATCAACAAAGAGTGGCTAAAATGAGCAGGAATTCACATGTCCAAAATGTAGTTGGGTGGTGGGTTTGGAGGTGTATGTGAAGGAATGTGGTGAGAGAGAGAGATGCCTGTCATAAATAACTGTTCCCTTTATAAAAATCCTATTATTGCAGTTTACCAATTGGGGGAATATGAATGCAATGGAGAGCTACACCCATTACCCTTGAGAATGAATAAATTACACCGTCACTACCTCTGGACTGTGGTCAACCCACCCATCTATATTAATTAGGACCTAATTCAAAGACAGTTGACAGTTCATCCATTAGCTGAGTAGAGCTACAGCTGAAGGGCTGATGGAAAGGGAAGCAAACACCTCCCCCTCACTTGCAGCAGCTGGGTTTATACAAACAGACAGGAAGAAAGTGAGGGATAGACTGGCTTACACAGTGCTAGAATGGTTCCGTTTCCTAGCAGCAATTGGGAAAGGCAGCTATCAACTGTAAATGCACGTTACTTATGCCACAGGACTGCTAGAAGAATCCAATACCTAGTGAAGGGGCTCTGGAGTTGGGGTGAGTGACTGAAGCTGGAAAGGATTCTCAGGGGACCCCTCTGTGGTAGGCCTCAGCTTTGGTCCTGATCCTACCAAGGCTCAAGGCAATGCTTAATATGCTGCATGTACGTACTTGTCAAAACCCAGGTGTTTGGGTTGCTCCCTATTTACCCTACCGTTCTCATAATGCAGTGTTAGCAGGGGCAGGGAAGCTTTTGGACAGATGTGGCTAAACACGGAGGCTATATCTACACTGAAAGGTTTTTGCGCAAAAGCCCATGGAGCGTCCACACCTCAAGCGTGTTTTTGTGCAAGAAAGTCTACAGTCAATCAATAGAACAGAGGGCTTTTTGCAGTGTGGGTACGTCTAGACTGTACGCCTCTGCCGACAGAGGCATGTAAACTAGGCTACCTGACATAGTCAAAGAAGCCGGGATTTAAATATCCCCGGCTTCATTAAAATAAACATGGCCATTGCGCTGTGCCGATGATCAACTGAGCCAGCACAGCATGCGAGTCAAGACACGGATTGGTCGACAGGAGAAGCCTTTGTCGACCGCTCTCTTATGCCTCGTGAAATGAGGTTTCCAGGAACGGGCGACAAAGGCTTCCCGTCGACCGATCTGCGTCTTGACTCACATGCTGTGCCGACGATCAGCTGAGCCGGCACAGTGTGGCGGCCATGTTTATTTTAATGAAGCTGGGGATATTTAAATCCCGGATTCTTTGACTATGTCGGGTAGCCTAGTTTACATGCCTCTGTCGGCAGAGACATGTAGTCTAGACATACCCTGTAGGTATATCTCTTTCTATGAGGAATAACTCCTTTTTGCGCTACAGCTCTCGTGCAAAAAAGCATGTGTGGACGCTCTGCAGGGGTTTCTTGTGCAAAAAGAACCTTTCCGAAAAAGCACAGGAGCTCTGATGGCCATTCACAGAATGGCCATCAGAGCTTTCTTGCACAAGAGCATCCATGCAGTGTGGACGCTCTCTTGCACAAAAGCAATGCGTTTTGAGGTCTGGACACGCTTTTGCACAATACGTTTTTGCACAAGAACTCTTCCACAAAAGAATTCTTGCACAAAAACCCTACAGTGTAGATGTAGCCCAACAGAATGTGTATCTCTGCTCCTCCCGCAGCAGCGTGCCCTTTGTCAACCACCCTACAAAATAAATATGTAGTGAATGAGGTAAGGACTCCAGCAGCTGTGGTTTATTCTCTCTGCACCTGGACTAACGCTGCTTGGGAGGGGCTGTATGAACCCTATGCTCCCTGATGGCAAGGAAGGGGTTATGCAAGCCCGAGGCATGGTTGGCGATGGACCAGCCAGGCTCACCTATAGCTCATATGCTTACAAATCGGTGTGGGTCCCAAAGCATTGGGCTGGAACTGGAAGAGTAGGCTGGGTTCTGCTGGAGGGTTGAATTCAAGGGGTTTCAGGGTATACAAGCTGATGGATCAGAGCAGGTGGTGCCGAGCTTTGGTGAGCTAGTTTGCTGACCATTCTACACGTGGCTACCTGATGTAAGTTGTCCCTGGTCCTGTTGCTTTTGTAACAATGGGCTGCAGATGGATGCTCCTTTCACTGGGACAAACTAGGAAAATGGATGTGGATGAAGCACTTGCAGATGATGAAGCTTCTACCTGTGACCCCCCAGTGCAGGCTTGGTGCCTTTCCCTAAGAGATGGAGACTGGCTGAGAGTGGTGTCTGTTGGAGGAAGTCTTTAATACTGCAGCTAAATTAGCCAGATACGTACAGCCTCTCCTCTCTGCACGCCAGACAAGGCTAAAAGGTTGCATCAGGCACATAGCAAGTGTGATCAGTTTTTCCAAAAGGCTCATCACTCCACATCTGCCTCCACTGCCAAACAAACAAAGAAACGTGTTCTGCTCTCTGGTTAGCTAACTTGAGGTAAAATGGCAGTGAAAATGTGGCAACTTGATTATCAGCTCAAGTCCAACCCCAAGATCCCCTATAAGCTTTTACTGCAGCTTCTAAGCAGAGTGATGGTTAATTGCTGGGTCCTCACCACTCTTCTAACACAGGTTCACTCCTGTGGATTAGCTCAGTGGGGTTAAAATGGCACTTTTTGTTGTGTAAACATATCTTCAATGGAATTAAACCCAGCTCCTCCCCAAGGTATTCAAAAGCACGTCTCGCTGTTGCTTAGTTCTCTACATTTGCCCTAACTTTAGCTGTTTGGGGCTACAGACTCCTTCAGGAAAGGCTGCAAGAATCTCACAATGGAAAAGTACACGTGACTTCCCTTCTACTCAGACTGTCAGCATATTTTTAGCTGCTTTTCTAATTTATCTTCAGATGGGAATAAGCCTGGAAAATTTTTGACCACATTTTGCATCTTCAGGAAGTGAAGTGAAAGAAACCAAAGGGTTGACATGGAAACAATTAGTGTGAGTCCTATGCAATGCCTGCTGCATCAGTGTACTCCTTTAACAACCCACCAGCCTTCCCCAGCAGTGTTTCAGCAGCTCATTCGGCAAATGGGGGTAACATCATTGATTGGAAAAAAACAACAAATGGTCTGGTAGCACTTTATAGACTAACGAAACGTGTAGATGGGATCATGAGTTTTCGTGGGCACAACCCACTTCTTCAGATGACCAGAGTTATGATTTGGGGATATGAAAACTGGAAATAAATAGGAGAGGGGAAAGGGAGGGGAGAGAGAAAGAAAAAGAGAGGCAGGTGAGAGACAGAGCATGATTAAGTATCTGGAGAATGGGTACTTAGACCTAAGCAGATAAAAATCAAAGTCCATAGACAGATTCCTAAAACAGGAAGGATGCCACTCTGGGAGCTATTAGCACCTTCAGTGGTTATTAAGTACATAGAGTCCCCACCAGCCCATATCATGATTGAGTCCATTAGCATGTGAACTGAATTTGTGGATGAACTGGGATTCCAGGGCTTCTCTGTGTATTTGGCTTGTAGAGCTGGTTTGTGACAAGACAGCTACTTGCAGGTCTGTCAGACT